CAATTTGGGAGAATATTTTCAAGAAAAATGGTGCATGTGTCCAAGGAAAGGCGTAGTGTTGCTTTGGGGACTGGGACATTAAGGAAAAGATGAGACTTACGTTTTCTTTCCACAGATGGCACCTTGGTACCAGTTCCTACAAGTGCTGAAGTATTTCTTTTTGGTGCCTAAAATCTGTTGAAGGGCACAGACATTTGGGCTGGAAGACAGAGGGAAGGAAAGAGAGTTAGTGTCCTAATGACAACCAGTGTTTCATACCTTCAGGTCAGATGATTCAGAAAAAAAGTTAACATGTGGACTCAATTTTCAAAGATGTGATTCTAGTCTTGCAAAAATCTACTTCTTGATTCAATCATACTGAATCATTAGAAAAACTAAATTCTATGGGAGAGAAAAAAGAGAGAGGAAATTATACATCCTTGAGAGGAGAACACCAGCATTTCAAAAGTTAATTTAGTAGGAATATTCAAGCAGCATTAAGTTCAACTTAGTTTTGTTGTCATGTGTGTCTTATTATTTCTAGTAGTAAGATAATCTACTGACCCTTCCTAAATCAAACATGTGCTCATTTGGGATTCTAATCTGGAACAATGGACTCTGGAACAGTGAGGAATCAGAAAGCAAAGAGACAAGTTTTCCTATGTCAAAAAACACCGCATTCTGTCATTTTCTAGGTGAGTAATCACAGAAGTAAATAAGTATTAAAATTAACTTGAATAATATGGCTGCACAAAGGAAAATCTATGTCTTTGAGTGGAAATAGATCAGAACATCCTGTGCCAGAATTTTAAGTGTTTTTCTCTCTTAAAGAGATGGAAGTTTTATTTGCACTGTAAAGCAAAGGAACATTTGAGCATTGTGAAAATCAAAATCTCTCTGAGACATTAGAAGAGTGCCAAGATCCATTTCAAAAAAAATTTATAAATGGTTGGTTAAGTTACTAAATTATGCCTGGTAACTTTAAAAATGCTAAGTTGTAGTTGGATTGATTCCAAGAAATATGTTACTTTTGCAAATTTTACAGAATGCAGAATTTAAAAGCATTCTTAAATGCTTTAAAATATTCAAAGAACTAGTTCTATTACTCATTATTTTATTTTCATACATAATTTAAATGAAAATTTCCTTAACATTATGTGAGATATTTCAAAGATAACTTACTTAATGAGAACCCTAACCATATATATTTTTAATTTTGGAAACCTCATTTCAGGTTTTTGGAAGGAAATAAAAATACAAATAAATAAAATAATAAATAAATGTCCCGTTAAATGTTGTCAATTAGATTAAAATTATGTAATGCTTCATAAAAAGCAATTACATGAAAATTACCTTGACAGAAATTTTTAAAGTTGAAAACACATTTATAAATCACAGAATACTCATTTTTATTGTTTCTTTTTAGTAAATAGAAAAAAAAAAACCTGAGGCATATATAAGGAACTTTATGTATACTTACACATAAAACAAGCTAAGAAAAAAAAATTATAAAACTGAACTACTGACTTACCCCTGATCCCGGCCCCTGATTCGGCTATGAGCCAAGATCTTGTCATAATGGCCATTGGCATTTGCAGAGTTAACAACAACCAGCAAGAGTAGAGAAAATATGGGTAAGAAAGGAATCATCTTTAGTCTCTCCGTTACAGTTAGTCCACGAAGAGAACTGGCAGTGGGCTTTGGAGAGCTCAGAGTTTATATACATGTCAGAGTTGTGGGAGGGAGCACTGTATAACCTGGGAATCTGAGCTCTCTCCAAAAAACATCAGCAACTTCAATTTGGCAGCTAAAATGCACTTTTGTTATGTTTACTGAACACATCAAGCATCTTTTACTTCTCATTCTGAAGAAGATATCTATTTTTATTTTTAAATAACTTATATTTCCCCTTAATAGCTGACTCCTTGCATGTTCATATTTCAGTTTTATTCTTTTGTAAATTGGAGGGGTTTATGGAAAATGCTTTTGTCTGGGTTTTAAGGAATATTCTGCCATTCATCCCTTTCAGAGTATATGTCCCTGTGCTCAATGAGATCATTGTTTGATCTTATCACATTTAGTTCACATCAGAACTGAAAGGTTATTATTTTTCACCAGGAACAAATGTAGATGTAAGTTTGATAATTTTAAGGCAGTAATGGCTGTTGATCAAAAACAGATGTTGGATAGATTTAAAACTTGTACAAAATATGAAATAAGAATTCTGATTGCTGACGAAACACGGAGAAGAGACTACATTTTCCTTGCAATCCTACTAAACTGCGAGATACCTCCCACTTCGCTTATTTTTTAAAAGATCAAGGAATAGATCGAGTTAACATACATCTACTTCTGGCTTTGTTTTCCTAACTCTTGAAACGAAGCAGAAAAGAAAAACATTTGTGCTTTATTGTTTCTTCGTTACATACTTCACACGATGATGAACTTGTCTAGGTCGCGCATCTGATAGCCACTGGATGAAAGCAACCCCTGTTGGAAACAAATATTACTAATCTAGCTGTAATAGATTAAACATATATAAGAAACAAACGTATTGCCAGAATTATTCTTCTGATTTTACCGAGAGTAACTGAAGTCTCTTAATGTTACACGATGCGATTCCTATCCAAGAGAATATGCGTTCTCATCCCTCCACACATGATACGTCAAATGTTCAGAACCCTGGATAAAAGAAACCTGAATGTCAGATGTCAGCAATAAGCTGAAATGATAACCTACAATAAGACTCCTTGAATAAGTAAGTTTCACACTCTCCTAAAGTAAAAATGTAATTCCAGTACGTCTTGTTGCAAAATTTTCACTCTGTGATAGCACATCAGTATTGTTTCCCACAGGCAATATGGAGAAATTTTGTACTAACCATGTTTTCCCATTGGAAGGGCTTTTGGGGGAGGTTGGTTGAGCCTGAGAGGATTCCAGGTATCAGGAGAGTTACATTAAGGTTGCTATAGAATTTTGCTTTGAGGCACTAAAATAATTCTGTAACTGGCTGCTAGTTTACTAAGAAAGCATACAATTAGACAATAAATTCTGAAATATGATGCAGAGACCTGTTTGAAAATCTTGGTATGAAGGTATAGAAAATGAAACAGCAATTCAAAAGGAGACCTGGAGAAAAGAGGGCATCAAAATATAAATTAAATTCTGTCCCTGGCCCCTTGTGGGAAGAAAATTAATCTAACATTTATATTTCTCTGAGTGAAATTATTTTAACTTCATCTCTATGTTACTGGTTTGCTTTATATAATAGGTTTCTATTATTCTCTTGTTGTGTAAATTGGTATGTGGTCAGTAATTATTTATTGAGTAGGATCGGAAGACTGTTTTATGGAAATAAGGTCTTCTTAATGCCAGTAAATTAGCTGCTGGAATATTGTTGGTAACACAGTTATATAAAAATCTTCAATTCTAGACTGGTTCGACATTATAATGTAGATTACTCATCTTCTAAGGCATAATAATGGAATTTTGGAATTATAGAAGGGTAAGTCAAACTTGTAAACAAATCTCTCCAACATCACCATTATAAGTAGTCATTCATTCTTTACTGGGATGCTCACTGCTGTTAATGCAACCCTTTTCTTCTTAGACAGCTGTAACCATTTATAAGGTTTTCTGTAATGAAGCTGAAATCCGCTTAAATCCAATGGGGTTCGATTGGAGAGGAAGGAGTGAGGTATTGGGAGAAAGAGTTATAGACTTGGATAGTATGTATCAGGGGTAAAAGAGCTCTTTAAACACAGTCCAGAATGATGACAGACTTGATTATGAGTACGGGGTGCAGGCAAAATAAAAAATTTCCTGTCACGTTACCTCCTTTTTTAGTAGTGCCTGTGGTACATTGAAAAAATATTGATAATTTTTAAGAACAGTTTTGACCTACTTGTTCCTTGTTACCATTTTTTTATTCATTCCTAGTTTTATCCATTGGAATAAATGGCTTCCATTCACCTGGATTCCTTCTGTGGTCTAAATGGACAAAGAATTGCATTCATATTTCAAAAAAGGACTGCACCTTTCTGACTGGAGACACAGGTTTACTTTTTATAAAACATGTGATATATGCTCATACACTAAAAAGTTTCTTAAATCTTTCTTTTCAGAGTTTCAAGTAACAGAGTCTTAATCCATCCTGGGCATCATACAGGAACTTGTATAAGTCCCATGGAAGTCAACAAACGCTACCCCTCAGCAAATATTTACACTCAGGATAAGTAATACCATCAAGGACAATCTTGAAAATGAGGGCCAGACTGCACATAAACTACATGTAAATTTAGAGGGTGGAGAGGGTTCCAAAAGAGGAAAACCTTAGTGTAAATATAAAAACATGAGAGTACTGCAACTGAAAAAGCCAAGCTCAGCTTGGGAGTGTGATACTATATGATATTATGGAGTAGTAGAAAGTCAAGCAACTGTGTTAGCCAGGATCCTAGCTTCTGGTAGACAAATTGAACCATAGTCCCTATCTGACAGTGCTGGGTAGGCTGAGGGAAGGAAAACAGTTTCAGAGAATGGGAGAAAAGATAGTCTAAGGTGTGGAAAAGAGAAAAATCTCTCTTGTCTGAGCGTTCAGCAGGGTCAATGTCTCTCTCATTCTTTCTCTCCACACAGGGCCCTTATTCTTTTGCTTCATGAAAGGATCCTGCCTCTGGGTTGGCTACGCAATTTTATTAGTAGTTTGTAGGAGGGCTGAAATCTTGGCAATTGAATCTAATTTCCAGGGTTGTAAAGTCTGACCTGGAAATGTAAGTCATTAATGAAAAGGAAGTGGCTTATTATGCAACCAAAGAAAAATAATGTGTCTGAAAGATAGAGCCATTTGTTTCTAGCTATCAGGTTGCTAATTTATGGGCAGTTTTCAAATTATCCAGTGGATCTTTGCAGCAAGCCTTGTAGCCTCTGGAGACTGTGAAATCATAGTGATAGTATGCCTACTCTTGCTAGCATGTAACCAATATGGCCCATACACTGTAGGGTTGAGATTGCCTATGGATTCAACAAGCCTAGAGTAGATTTTTTAGAAGACATTTCCTTGGTTTGGAATCATCCAGAGTAGTTATTTGCCTCAAATTATGTATAAACTCCTGCTTTTTAACATATGTTCTGTGGGATATTAAAAACATTTCTTGGAGCACCACATTGCTTTCTCTCTGGCCTATTCATAATAATTATAAAACATGATAAGGCCTTAAAGCTAATGTCACACATTCTTGGGGGCAGCATGACTCAGTGTCCAAATGCTTGGTTAGTGAAGGTCTTAGCCTTTTTTGGTACCTGGGTTTGCAGCCGTATAAACTGAAGTTCTGACAAAGACCCAGTGATCTTTGTTGCCTTTGAGTAAGAGACAGTCAACAGTAAAAACAAATTCAAATTAAGCAAAAATTAAATTTTTCTTAGCTTTAAATATTAGCTAAAATATAGCTAAAAGAAAATTGAATGTCAGTGCCTGACTTAAAGTAAGTCAGAATGGCAACGTATAAGCACAGATACTTGTGGCTGACACACTGTAAAGCCTGTAAGTGGAACTTCCCAAGCCATACTCCCAATATATTTCCAATGGATTAATCTCCTCTGCTTCCATAGATCTTCCAGGCATGGTCTGGCTTACCATATTTAAGGTAATGAAATCATATTCAGAGAAAAAGATGACTAATTTGGCCCCAAAGTAAATGATGTCTCTTTAATGTTCATTCTTTTGGAAGCATACAGAAGGTTTTCTGTGATAAATGTGGGTAGTATGCCTTCTTTCTTAGTTAAATTTAGATGCTGTTTTCCTTTAAAAACTTATCAATTAACAGATCTCACTTTAAAACTTAGTAATTAATGTAACTGTTGTCCCTCATTGAACTGAGCACTTCTGAAATTTTTAAACTGGGTACTTGTTATCAGTATTTCTTATTAACAGTGTTTACTTGTATTTCTCTGGAGACATCTAGTGGAGAAAGTACAGTATGTGTTTCTAGAAGCACAGATACTATTACATTTTGATTTAAAGAATAATTTATATGAAATTGATATGAAAAAATCTTAAACATTTTATGTACATTTCAAAATGCCAAGTAACTGAAGATTAATAATGATCTCTTAAATAAAAGATTTTAGAGCTGATTTAGATTAATCACATTAATGATGCCAAATCTAGATTAAAAAGTGAAAAATCTAGGGGGACAAAACATAAGAGACTCTTAAACACAGAGAGCAAACTAAGGGTTGCTGGAGGGGTTGTGGGTGGGGGGATGGGCT